CCCCCTCATATACATGCTCCCTCTCGGTGATGTCATCCGCAGACACGGGCTTAACCCTCAAAATTATGGGAATGACACTCTATTCTACGCTTCCACGTTCAGCTGCGACACAAAGTCTCTCTTATTTTCTGTCGGCTTGCTGAGCGCTAATTTTCTGCAGTTTAACGTCAATAGTCATAGTCTTTGGACACCATCGACGTCTTCGGTCCCACGGTTCTAAACTTCTCAACCAACTCGATGTTTCCTTAAAATTCTCCGTACCCGTGCGCTACTGAGGCATTAGGTGCGATTTCAATTATCCTTCCTCGCCCACATCCGTTCCCTGATCAGCACAGCTTTCTTCCAAACTGCCCTGTTTTGGCTTCAGGATTATCAGGAAAATATATGAATTTTTTAGGATAATTTTCTCGGATATTTAACGCCGCGCTCAGACACTGGATGGTGGTGTAAACTGGTACCATATGGAGGAATTACTTAACAACACCGTAACCTACTTGGTATGTGCGTGTACTGCAGGCCTTCAAGCGAATATGTATCAAGTGTGTTTGAGAGGTGTGTGTGTGAGAGGAATTTGTGTGAGTCGAGTGTGTGTGGAGGGGATGTCTTGAGGGGTCAGTGTGCTTCCGAAAGTGTTTACGACTGAGGATGTGTGTGTGTGCGTGTTTTTGTATGTGAGTGAGAATTTGAGTGAATGAAGGGAGCGGCATTGGGATATGGGGTGAGGAAACTTGTACCGTTGCCAATTCTGACCAATTTTCAATCGGGAACAAACTGAGGAATAGCAATAAGATTGTCAAACCACACTCAATGCTCAGAGAATCACAATCATAAGTCGCACACATTCTGCTTTCCTGACAGCAACAAGAGCCATCGTCAGCTCAGTGCTTTATACAAGTCTCCGGGTTTAGTTAATATGATACAGTCACTTACATTGGGGCTGTAACTTGGGCTATGTTTGAGGCTCTGTGTAGAGCTATGAAATGGACTGCGATCTTGGTTATGCTGAGGGCTGTGTGCTAGGATATGCTGGGACCTTTGTGCTGGACTGAGTTAGGTTCTTTGTGAAGGTAATGCGTGTGCGAGTGTGGGCTATGTGTGGGCTGAGCTGTGGCACTGATTTGGTCTATGCTGAGGGCTGTGTTTTGGGAGGTTCTAGGGCCACTGTGCTGGGCTACGTGATTGCTGTATGTTGACTATGCTGGGGGCTTTTTTTGGGCTGTGCTGGGATCTGTGTATGCTGGGCTATGCAGGGTGATCTGTACTAGACTACGCTGGGGCTGGGCTATTCTAGTGTCTGTGAGGTGCTATATGGGACGGTGGGATCTCTGTTCTTGACATGGGTGGGGGCCCGAACCGCCCTAAGCTAATACCGTGTAATGTTCTGTAAAGTCGCAGTCTTGAATTGTACGTAACACAAAGGAATCCAAACCATTATACTTATGTAAAGAGACGGAAAACTTGTCATCATTTGTGTCAGTTGCTGAATGAAGGCAGTTCCTCTGATTAATTTTATATGCTGCAATACCGCAGAAAATTCAGAAGTTGAGTTGACACGGCATTAACCCTCCATGGAATCAAAATCCACATCACAAGCTGAATGAAAGAGGCTACAATATTATACTCAGGATAATGAGCCGGTATATCCTGTTACATTAAACCCATGATATATGTGTAGTATATATCTACTGTGTATTACGAACACAGTTCATTTTCCAGATACTCTGACACGTTATGAGATTTTCACAATGAGATTTTGAATAAGTGCACATTCTTTGGAATGAACAGCCTTGGAAGGCCGCATACATAGTCATTTTTGGACGATGGGAAAAGGGAACAATTGATAATTTGTAAAACAGGACATGAAGCTACATGGAGACAAAGCTGAGAAAAGCAGTTTGAGAGAGTTACCACAGAAAACAGGGCAGGCCCAGCGGCCTTGGCGATTCCTTAGTTACAACAGGAAACATTATCAACTACTGAGCGGAAAACACTCTCAATGAAAAGAAATACACGAAGGAAAAACAAAATGAAATAATTAAATGACCTTTTTCGAATATATTAAATTGTTATCTTTTTCAAATGATTAGTTTATTTGACCAATTCAAAAATATGTTAAACGATACTTTTTCTTCTCCGACACATCACCCAGAGACTGAACACGAGGACTGTCCTCAAAGTCAGCAAATAAAAATATCATTAAAGTAAGTGTCTTGAATAACGATCATAAACAAAACGATAAAAATAACGCAATTGCCTGTCGTTTTTCGCCCTCAAAATTTACTGTAAGTGCAGTTTTACAGGATGTTTATTCTGTGTAGCCTTTTGAGACGCTTCAAAGATGCAATACGGTGCTATATCAAATACAACGATTATTATGTAACTTTAAATTAATTTATGCTTCACGTTCCTTCAATGCTGGAAGATTTTTTGATTCAGCCGCTCATGGAATCCTTCACTGCCACATTGTTTGTGAGCCGTTACAGTGATATATATATATATATATATATATATATATATATATATATATATATGTCGAGAGAGAATGCCTGTTGTGCTTTGATAAGTGCCCTGTAAGATAGAAGCTCTTGTTTATCTCGTTTGTTCGACCAGATTCAGTGCATTTTTATTTTTCTTTCAAGGGATTATTATCCCTGGAAAAGTAATCCGCCAATCCACGGGCAAACGGGATCCTACCTACTTCTCGGTAAACACAGTCAAGCGCGTGCAGTAAAGAAACGTGACGAATATTTTGCTCTACTCGGGAACCCAATCTCGGTCCTCTCGCTTTTGGGTGAAGTGCTCCAACCACTGAGCTTCAGGAACCCACAACCCTTGCGCTTTGATCAGATCTAAAGCTGTGACTTCCGTGCTGATCAGAGATTGCCTGTGTGACTGTGCAATGGATCAGAGAGAATTACAAACCAAAATAGTGCTATTTCCTCGACCAGTAACGAAGCCGTGTCCATTACATTACTCCCAGACAAGGTGGTGCGTTCACGTTGGGATCTGAGATCACAGCGATGACTGGTTCTCTGTGAAATCAAACAGAGTCTTCTCTCCCGAGTCAGGCGGGATTTAAGTAATCTGTGACACCACTTATCAATGGAAAACAATTTGTTTCTCAATTTACTCGGTAACAATCCATCAGGTGATTGGAAAATCAGCATAAGACAGACAGCGAGCTAAACAAACAGTGTCTGATGAGAATCCCTGTTACAATCTGCTCGCAGTTACTGTGAGTAGCTAATATTCAGAAGTTAGTAATCCTTTCATTTGAAGTAATAGCTTATCACGACTTCGAGACATCTGAAAGTGCTTCACGGAATATACTATGACTTGAATTGACTGTTGGCAAAACACGGCAGCCAATTGTACTTTGCAATATCCATCAAACAATTGTGAGTTCACTGACTAAATTATTAATGTTTTTAAAGAGATTAACAACCCAAGAATAGAGATCTGCTACTTGAAGTACAAACGGGTTCCTACTTACACTTTGGTAAACGGGTTTGTGGGATAAGGAAATTTGATTTGGAGTAGTGCACCACTGATATCACTTCTAATTGAAACTTCACACCACAATTTTTTCTTGTCCATGTTCTACTCCAGTTTCTTCTCCCCTTGTCCTGAAAGAGTGTGACTGTTCCGGCATTTCAGTGGACTCCGATTCCACCAGCAGCTCTCGCCATTCGGCTTCTCTCTCAAGTGATGGTTTCATGACTGGCTTGAGCGCATTAGTCAACACATCAAATCATTCACACTCATTACATTATTTCATCACCAATCAATGTTTTGATTGCACTGTATATAGGAAATAAATATAACAAGGAATACTGGTGGAAGTGTGCTTCAATCTGAATTTGTACAGGTTGTCCACGAGACCAAAGATAAATGTTGTTAGGGAAACCAAGAGGCCTCTTCTCAAGCAGGTTTGTAAAGGCGTGTTTTTCTAACGTATTTCGCCCACACATGTACGGACAATTCACTTTACAACATATTCCCTGAAGCGCTTAGAGACGCCGAGAATAGGTGAATAGCGCAACATCAAATGCAAGTATCATCATTATTATTACTGTAGGAGAAAAGAGAGAAATGATAGGAGTAAGAAAAAACAAATTGGCATTTTTTAACATCATAGCCGATCTTTACATCAAGTCAAAATACCAGCCTTTGCCACTAATCCCTTAATACACTGTCAACTCGCTAATATTTTCCATCTCAATCTTGAAAATATGACTTGATCCAACATTCTCAGACATTTGAAGGAGCGATTTCCAGATCAAGGCCACGTTTTTGCTTAGCCTATCACTCCTAAATGACTTTGCTGATATTTTCAGATGATGACACTTTTTCTGGAATCCTCCAACAGATACTGCAATACAAATTTTCGGCAATAAAGTGCACATTCACTCCACTGTGCACTATATTTTGTAACACACTTTGCGACCTTCTAACTACCTAAGAAGGCACGATATGAAATGCAAGGATTATTATAATACTGATATAATAATGATACTTTTTTATTACAACAAGAACATATTACACATAATGCCCGTGTAATACTCCAAATAAAATACTAAATTCCCAGATTATATTTTCAAAAATAATCTACCTAATTTGCTTTAAAATAATGAATAGTTTCAACTTAAGCCATCATCTCAGGGAGCTCACTCCAAATATTTATTATTAACTCTCTGAAATAGTGTTTCCGCAGATATGTTTTAAATTGACCTCGAAACACATACTCAGACAAACACATGGAAGAAGCAATCGTCGATGATTCAGAGTCAGCCGTATGGCTCATACTATTGAGACTGATATAAATATGGATTTGCTGTAAATGCAGGATATACAGTTATTATTATTGACTGTTGATCTGTGCAGGTCAGAGGGAATGTAACACGTGACTCCCCTCAGTCCTGGAGCTACTGGTCGATTCTCGAACACCTGCCCCAGTGGCCCATGTTAAATAGCGGTCACTGGGGACTGAGGCCATCTCTCCGGCTGTTCTCTGTCCCTCGATTATTCGGCAGAAGCTTCAGTTCTGACAAGTGTCGAGAAACATGAGGTCCCTGATTTCTCTCAGTCTGCTGCTGGCTGTCTTCTCCTGTAAGTGCTATTATTCTGACAGTGTCTCTGTTCTCTGTCGGTGTTATTCTCTCTGCAATGTCAGAGAAACAGGAGATTTCAACATCATTCACCTTCGTTCGTTTATTCTTTACAGGTGTTCAGGCCGCTGAGGTGCTGACACAGCCGGCGACTCTCAGCGGGGAAACCGGCCAGACCCTGAGACTGACCTGCACAACCAGCGGGTTTAATTACGGCACATACTACTACTGGATGTATTGGTACCGGCAGTTTCCTGGGAAGCAGAAGGAATGGCTCCTCAGTTATTACAGCTCATCCTACAAGGGATTCGCGTCCGGTATTGAAAACCGTGTCACTGTCATCAGAGACGATTCCAATAACATCTTCGATCTGATCATCAAAAGCCCGACAGTGGAGGACACCGCCACCTATTACTGTGCAGCAGACTCACAGTGAGAGGAAACTGGGCTGAACTCCTACAAATACAAAAGGGGAGGGAAGGCAGCCCCTCCCACCCTAAACTGACGGATGGACATTCATGGTGTCAATGCAATGTCTGTAACCAAGTTTAAAGGAAAAGCAGAAGATGGATTTATTATCAGACTAAACCTGCACAGTGAATTGTGGTTTGATAAGCAGCTCATGAGCCAGTTAGTTGTGTGGTAATATTTAGTGATTTTGGATGGTCAGTGACACTATGCTTTTGAGGCGGGAAGGACTGCGATTGGAGACTGACTATGTAACGGTTCACTTACATCATCTTATTACAAGATTTTGGAAATAATTGCTTTCTGTTTCACTGCATATGAAGGAACTGTTAGACAGACTATATCACGTTAGAATATAAAAGTCCCTTAAAGTTAATTTTGGTGACTAGTATTGAGCAAACATTGGGGGAGTCAGTATTTGTATGGGACTGTATAACTGTGGTAATAAACAGTGGTTCGAACCCTGGTCACGATGCTGCAAACAGCCATCTCCTCATACAAAAACACCAGGCAGAGAGACTGCTAACCCCTGTTATCACGCCAACATCAACATAACAAATATTAAGGAACTAGAGTCATTTTCAGAAATACACTGGTGTTTAACAGATTAACAAAGATTAATTTATCTTATCAAAGAAGATTGAACTCTTCTGAGCTTGATAAGAAGAATCTTAAATCTCTGATGAACGTGGCGGGAAGGATTGCGATTCGAGACGGTTCACGAACATCATCTTGTTGGAAATAATTGCTTTTCGTTTTTCTGGATATAAGGAATTTATTAGACATACTCTGTGTCGTGTCAGATGATAAATGACGCTTTCAGTGAATTTTGGCAGATAGCGTTGAAGAGATATTGGGGGTCAGTATGTGTATGGGACTTTATCACTGTGCAATGGGCATCACAATGTTGCATACAGCCAACTCCTCGTACAAAAACCCAACCAGTGAGACTGACAACCACAGTGACTACTACAACATCAACAGGTCCCAAATAAATGTTACTGAAAGAACATCATACTCAGAGATAACCTGATATTTATCAGATGGAACAAGATTGATTGAGATTATAGGATGATGCTAAACAGGTTTGAGGACTACTGAAACGCTTTTTCAAGAAGTCGAAATCTCTAATAAACATAAGAAGTCATTTGGACTTTAACATCATTCGTGGCCTCACTGGAGAATCTGAACTGAAAATCCAGTCATTCTCTGAAATTCTAGATCAATATTAGTTAGTTCGCCTTGTGCAGGAGTTTTTGTCATATTGTGTATCACTGTGATACTGGGACCACAGCATTGATTGTCAATACAAAAACCCTTCAACACCAAATCAGGTAATCTCTCTCACTAATCGCTTGTGTGGGACGCACTGAATTTGCGGGGATATGGTATTTCTAAAACGTTGATGAACCCCGAGGATTTCACCAGAATTTAATAAAGATAAAACATCGCATTTATTCTTCAATCTGTTGGCAAGAAGAAACATGGTTTCGCAGGAACACAGCAAACTGACAAAGACACGATTATTTGACAGGTAAACACTGCGCTGGGCAATTGTTTTCAGAACATTATAGAAGCATATCGTGATCTGTGTTATGTTTGGGGAAGCCAACATTTACATTAATATTGTGTTTGTGTGCTCTGCCCACACAGCAGGTTGTTGCAGTGAGCAGCCCACTGACTGTAGCACAGTGTCGACTACTGGGGACAAGGCACCAAGGTGACGGTGACTGACGGTAAGAACTGACACTATCTCACTCACTTCAGTGAAAGGGTGTCTTTATATATGTGTTTTGTTCACTTTGGTCGCTTGTTAATGTAATGAACTCCGTGTTGCCGACTAGCTCACACTTTAATCCAAGTTGAAGGGATGTGTCTCTTATTGATTTCAGCAGCACCTGTTCTTTTATGGATTACTCTCTCAATATTTTGGTAATTGTTGGTGATGTTTCTTGTGTTTTGAAAATCCAGCTGAGGTTAAACTGATGCACCTTCTGCAATGTGTGATTGCGATGACTGGCTGCTGGATTTCGGTGTATAATGTTGACAGGAATTGCGCAAAAGTGTTTGAAACTATGCACATGTTTGGGGAATCAGTGTCTGAATTTTACGGGATGATTGACACGAAGGTTATCTAATTGCTTTCAACATATATTTAAATCAATTGTTTAACATAAGGAAATTGGCTGCGGTTTAAAGTGGTTCACCTCGGAGGGTTTTAGGCTGAGATTAAAGCGAGTTTATACGGCAGGGATGTGATTGAATATACAGCAGCTCAATTTACACTGATGTTACAGAAATAATAGTGAAGGTTTTTGTTTTAATATCAGCATTAATGTATTACTCACAATTTCATTTCCTCAGCTGCACCACACACATCAATTACGATTTTGTTCAGCGACACATTAAGCTCAGACATCATTTCATTAGATTTTTAGCGTTTGAGTGAATATATCTTCGATTTCTCACAGGGCTCCGAGACACAAGAGGTCGTTGTTGATCTGTAATCATCAACTTCCTGTTTTACGCTAACTGTTCTGCGGAAAAGCACAGATATGTTCAATCAACACATGGGAAAATTTGTAATGTAACAGCCTGCTGTTCCGATTGATCACTTAGATCAAGTTAATGATTCCATAGTTGTTCAATGTTAATACCACCTGCGGCTGTCTGTCAGCCTGAGCATCATTACTACAACATGACAACAGGACATTTAACATTTACCACAGAAATCTAGCACAATTCAGGGTAATGCAGATTGTGAAACATAGCAGAATGTTATTCATTCTGAGTGTCCTGTAGTTCAGGGCGAAACCAGAGGCAAGTTTCCTTATTCCACCTACACACCTCTGCTTTACAATATGATAAGGCGCTATATCAAACGCAAAGAATATTGATATTATTTTCAACAATATCAATGTAAACCTTTTTTTTTCCTGAAATGCGAGCAGTGTTACTGACAGGAAACCCCCTGACAGCGTCTTCTGTATTAACTTAACCATGTCAGTGCAGATGTGTGACAAAAATACTCGTAAAAATGGCTATGTCTGTATCTCTGTTCAGCGCTGGACAGCAACTGTTGCAGGTTCCGCTAATCACAATCACCAATTAGACAGGATTCGCTGTGAGAGGCTTGTGCTCGGCAACACACTGATTACAGTCCTTCATTCCTCATGAAAGCTCTGAAACCACCCATGTTGTCGTCTCTATAGTTGTGTAGACAAAAGAGTTAACAGGGTCCAAAATTCGTCAATAGACAAACAAATATTTTTCACCCTGAAAATTTACATTCAATTCACTTCACTGTGTATCCTCTAAAGCCCTTTGAGATGTCTCGAAGCCGCGACAAGGTGCTAAATCAGAAGCACGAATTATTAATGTTGTTACTATTCATAATTAATGTACTATTTTAACACCACATAGCAGCCGACAGGTGGGAAATTGGCTGCGGCGACTCAGTAAGCATTTTGAACAGAATAACTTGTTTTAGTAAATGTCAGAGCAAGCAAGACTCACGTTTAAATTTTCGTTCTATTGTATAAAATTGTTAGAATATCCAAAGGTCTGAATAACCTTGAAATATCCATTTGTTAGCAAACTAAATGAACGATTATGAAATGGGAGCTACATGTGAATTTGAGCTGCTTTTCTAAAGGCCGCACCAATTTAAATCTTAAAACAAAGTCGACCGGAGTAAGATCAGTAAATATTTAAGTATTAAATGGTTTAAAATTAACATTATAAACACAGTTACACTGTCTGACTCTCTTTGTTTCCAAACTTAAACTAGTTACGTGGTGACATTGAGCTACTTCTCAGTCGATGCAGAATCACAAATACCAGATTCCCGGACAGAAAGGTCTGCCTTCGTTTAACTATTTTACGCATAAAAATATTCCCTCCAAAACCAAAAATCAATAATAAATTGGTCATTTTCAATCTACGATTGTTTGACGGACTTTGCTTTGCGCAATTGGCAGCCGCGTTCGCCCACAAATACAAAGTGAATACACTTTAGAGTGTGTTCTGTGAAGCGCTTTGGGACGTTCTCCCGATGTGAAAAGCGCTTTATCAAATGCAATGATTATTATTATTATTATTATTATTATTATTAACTTTGAATCCAATTCAGCTACTTCTACCCATCACCCCCAATCCTCATCGCCCTCTCGAAGTGGGTAATGTAGCTCTATCAATACAACCGATGACAAAGATTACAAATATATGAAGAGAACTTTTCTCCTTAAATGCTATCTGTGAAAACTTTTTGTCTCAGCACAATCTCCAGCTAGCTTGCTTTGCTGGCACAGACACGAATACAGTCATTCACACATCAATAAAACATGAACTATTGCATTATGTACAGTGCCTCACGATGTTGAGATTGCTCAAAGCACTTCACAGGATGTAATGCAACGTGGATTGACTGTATTTTGTTGGGGAAAAAAAACACTTTCGCAAAACCAAGTCCCACAATCATGCGTAGGGAGTTTGCCAACGTTATTTGGGGGATTGTTGACCAGGACACGGGAAACAGAGAAACAGATGGAGACATTCAGAAAGCAGAGATAAACTACCATTTATTTTCGAAGTGGCCATGGAATCTTCAGCGTCCAACTCAAGGCAGAGTGGGCCTCAGTTTAACGTCCCAAAGCATACGGACAGCCAAACGCATGCAAGCATGCATATACACACACATACATACATACAGATATACACATATATATATACACACACACATAATCTGCAATGGCCTGATTATATTCCCATAATTTCCCGAGTGCTGCTTTACCCGGAGATAAAGAGCATACACGACAGGGATAGAAATCAATTGACGCGGTTCTGTTGGAAGGGGGAAGACCTATGAATTCTCCATGATAGGCAACAGGGAAGGAGAATTAGAAGAGTTCGCATCTTCAAGCTCACTTCAGAGTACAATGCAATGTATCAGATAAACCGAATCAGGAGATTGCAATGGTTATGTTTGTTAATATACCGTTGAACTGGGAAGGTTGAAAGAGATAAGTTAATGAGAGGGAAGTGTCAACATCATTGCTGAGATAAATGTCTGTTTTAATAACAATACCAATGTAATACTGTCTTATTATTTAATGTATTTCCGATAATGTACATTCGAAACCATTGCCCGTAGTTGCGTTTCTCACACAGACTTACCCTGAAGACTTCAAAATACACAAAATCAGACGTTGTACCCACAACATTGTTTGAAGAGAATAACGGACATTGAATACCAACCGTTGGGCGCTTTTTGTGACTCCACGCGCCACTGCTGATCCAGCAGTAAGTAGGGACCAAGTTGTCAGTCAACTGGTGTATCATTAATCAGGGGTATTAATTCCTCAAATAAAAAATGGGCACTGCAATTCACGAATGTTTGTGGGTCACTGAAGGGCGCCATTGACTGCCTCGTTTCACCCACACAATATAATCAGTTAACACAACGTATTTTCTGTGAAGCACTTTGAGACGTCTCGAAGATGTAGTGAGGCGCAGTATGAAACTCAATGATAATTATAAGTATTGTTACCATACAACAGGAATATATTGGTACAGCATGTGTTTTGTTATTAACTGTAGAACACTCATCATTGTAGGCGTGGGCATGTCACTTTTCTTCTCCAGGTTGTTTGAACACTCAAATCACGGAAAATCTTCCATCGTCTGACACTTATTTCCCAAGAATGTTCTAGGGCAATATATCATAAGCAATGGTTGTCCAGATTATATTTTGTGTATCTTTCTAAAGGGAAGATAGATACGACTATCTTCACTGGGAAGACTGAAAGAGTGAATGAGTGGAAGTGCCCACATTATGGCTAAGATCTGTTTCAATATTAATATACATTTCATCCAACAATATATATATATTCCATGGAACAAAACATATCCAATCATTTAGTGTATTGTAGAAAATGTGTCACGGAAGCTATCGCCCTAAGTTGTCATCCTAACACAGACTTCCCCTGAAGACATAAAAATGCACAACTTGGCCATTGCAGTTTGTTTTATATCCGGTTTCCATCCGGACAAACTAAGTCTTAAATGGCTGAAGGATTGGCAGCCCATCAGGTCAGGTGTTGTGACATCTCCCTCAGTTAAAGAGAAGGGGACATTCCGCGCAAACAGCCGCCTGAATGTCCCCGCCATAGAGTGGAGCATTGGCGCGGTTTGCACCTGTCAGGTGTCCCATGAATCCACGCACACCATCATTGTCAAGAACATCACTACGCCATCAGGTAGGAGGCAGAGCTGAAACACATGGCAGGAATTTGGCTCTCAATTCCCTTTGCAATTTACACATGGAGGCATGTAGCTCAGTGGTTAGAGCTCTCGCCTTAGAAACGGGAGATCTGGATTCGATTCCCATCTGGGGCAAGATGTTGGCTCTTTTTGTGACTCCACACGCCACTGTTTATCCAGTAGTAAATAGGGACCCAGTTCTCATTTAAATGGCGTGTCACTATTCCGGGGGTCATATTTCCTCAAATAAAAATGGTCACTTTATTTCACGACTGTTTGTGGGACACTGATCGTCCTCTATGGCTGCCTTGTTTCAGCCATACAATGTAGAAATTTAACATCACAATATTTTCTGTGAAGCGCTTTCAGACGTCTCGAAGGCGTAGTGAAGCGCTGTATCCAATGCAGTTATAATTATAAATATTATCACCAAAACAACAGGTTTATATTGGTATAGCATATGTTATGATATTAAGTTTAGGACACTCAACATTGTACGCATGGACATATCAATTTTCTTCTCTAGATTATATGAACACTCTCAGCACATTAAATCTTCTATGGTCTGATGATCATTTCCCTGTTTTAGAGCAATATATCATAAGCAAAGGTTGTGCAGATAATATTTTGTTTATCTTTCTAAAAGGAAGAAAGATAAGATTATATGCACTGGGAAGATTGAAAGAGCGAATGAGTGAGAATCCTCCACATTATGGCTGAGATCTCTGTCTGTTTCAATATTATTATAAACTTCACACAGCAATATATATATTTCCATGGAACAAACATAACCAATCATTCAATGTATTACAGATAATGTGCAACCAAAACCGTTGTCCCCAGTTGTTATCCTCACGCAGACTTCCCCTGAAGACACCAAAATGCACAACTTGGCAACTGCTCTCTGCTTAATATCGGGTTTCCATCCGGACAAACTCAGTGTTAAATGGCTGAAGGATTGGCAGCCCATCACCTCAGGTGTTGTGACCGCTCCCTCGGTTAAAGAAGACAACGGGACATTCAGTGCCAACAGCCGCCTGACTGTAGCCACCAGAGAATGGAGCAATGGCGCGATTTACACATGTCAGGTGTCCCATGAACCCACCCACACCATCATTGTCAAGAACATCACCACGCCATCAGGTAGGAGCACAGCAGCAGCTAATACACATTGCCGGTACTCGGCTCTCATTTGCCTTTGAAACTTGCACATGGAGGCCTGTCGCTCAGTGGTTAGTGCTCTCGCCTTATAAGCGAGAGACCTGGGTTCGGTTCCCAGCCGGGGCAAGAATTGGGCACTTTTTGTGACTCCACGCGCGACTGTTTATCCACCATTATATGGGGACCCAGTTCAGTCAATTGGCCTATCACTATTCCGGAGGTAATAATCCCTCAAATAAAAAATGGTCACTTCAATCCACAACTGGTTTTTGGACAATGATGGGCGCCATTGGCTGCTTCGTTTCACGCACACAATAGCGTCATTTAGCGTAACAATATTCTCTGTGATGCGCTTTGATACGTCTCTTAAACGTGATGAGGTGCTGTATGAAACGCAGTGATAATTATAATTATTGTTATTAAGGGTAGATCACTCAACATTGTAGGCCAGGGCCTGTCACTTTTCTTCACCAGGTTATTTGAACACACCCATCGTAGAAAATCCGTAATAAGCTCATGGTATTACCCTCATGGCCGAAACTTTGTTTTTGTTCAATGCATCAGAAGCAATGATTGAGTAGACTGTATATTTTTTTGTTTCTAAAGCAAAGAAAGATAAGATTATCTGGACTGGGAAGATTGAGCGTGTCAATGTGTGAGAAGTGTCAAGATTTCGGCTGAGATCAATGTGTTCTAATGTTAGTATCAATTTCGCACAACAATATATATTTCCCAGAAGCAAAATATCACCTATCGTTTAATGTACTGCAGATAAAGTACTGCATAAACCGTCGCCCCCAGTTGTTATGCTCACGCAGACTTCCCCTGCAGACATCAAAATGCACAACATGGCCACTGCTGTCTGCTTAATATCTGGTTTCCATCCGGACAAACTCAGTGTTAAGTGGCTGAAGAATTGGCAGCCCATCAGCTCAGGTGTTGTAACCTCTCCCTCGGTTAAAGAAGACAACGGGACATTTAGTGCCAACAGCCGCCTGACTGTGCCCACCAGAGAATGGAGCAACGGCGCGGTTTACACCTGTCAGGTGTCCCATGAACCCACCCACACCAACATTGTCAAGAACATCACTACGCCATCAGGTAGGAGGCACAGCAGCAGCTAACACACATGGCAGGAACGTCGCTCTCATTTCCTTTTGAAATTTGCACATGGAAGCCTGTAGCTCAGTGGTTAGTGCTCTCGCTTTACAAGCGAGATACCTGGGTTCGGTTCCCAGCCGGGGCAAGAATTGGGCTGTTTGTGGCTCCACGCGCCACTCTATATCCAGCGTTTTGTAGGGACCTCGTTGACAATCAGTTGGCTTATTACTATTCCGGGGTAATAATCTCTCAAATAAAAAATGTTCACTTCAATCCAGAACTGTTGGTGGGACAATGATAGGAGCCATTGGCTGACTCGTTTCACACACACAATACTGTCAGTTAGCGTAATAATGTTTTCTGTGAAGCGCTTTGAGACGTCTCGAAAACGTGATGAGTGCTTTATGAAACGCAATGATAATTATAATTTTTGTTATTTCGTGTAGATCACTCAACATTCTAGGCTTGGGCCTGTCACTTTTCTTCACCAGGTTATTTGAACACGCCCATCGTAGAAAATCTGTCATAAGCTCATGGTATTACCCTCATTGCCGAAACTTTGTTTTTTTTCAATATATCAGAAGCAATGATTGAGTAGACTATACAATTTTTTGTTTCTAAAGCGAAGAAAGGTAAGATTATCTGGACTGGGAAGATTGAGCTTTTTAATGAGTGAGAAGTGTCAAGATTTCGGCTGAGATCAATGTGTTTTAATCTTAGCATCAATTTCGCACAACAATATATATTTCCATGAAGCAAAATATCACCTATCGTTTAATGTATTGCAGATAAAGTACTGCATATAACGGATAGTTATTCTATTGGAAAGAATACAGTGCATAATTGATAAGTGCTCATAATGATGTTAGGCTTGCATGGTTGTTGAGCGTTTCGGTATGTTGTCGGGTGAAACCAATTTCTTTCTTACCTTGTTTTTATGATGTTTTTCCCCATTAATTTAGCAATGACATTAAATGGATAATCTAAACCTTTCTTCAGTTCCTCTCTGAATTTATTCTGAGTCAATGCATAAATACAAGAGTTGGTAAAGCAACTCAAACTTGCAAGCATGATTCCGGTTTCCTCGACGATATACCGCATGTTGGTGGCAAAAGTTTCGCTAACGGTATAATTGGAAAGTTGCCATTTCATAGAAAATATAACATTTGTTATGCGTAACAGTATAACACTGCCTGATACGGCGAAGAGTAAAACGATGGATTTTCTGCGATTTTCCAACTCTGGATCAATTGTTTTCCCAGGAATTCTCTGAAACCGAAGGGTTTTGCGAACATTACTGGCCATCAGAATGTGTCTGATAATCAGAGCATTGAACAGACAAATCAGTGCCAAACCAAAGACGGAACGAATAACACGGTGAAGCCTTTCAAACGCTTTCCAGGCTGCCAAAGTATAATAGTTTGATTTGAAGACACAGTACCACGGGTTATCGTTAATTTTAACATAAGGATCAAATGTAAAGTACCAGGGAATGCTCACTGAACAGCTGAAAACAGACAGAGTTACAATAACCACTATGGCCGTTCTCTCTGTGCAGTATTTCGTTTTCAACATTTGACAACAAATGGCTACAAATCTGTCGAAAGTGAAGGCAACAGTGAACCACACAGAGCAGTGGACTGCTGTAGATATCAGCACAAGAGTTAAGCTACACACTGGGGTATAGAATAAGAAATTTAATGGGAAATACAGATTTTTAATTTTGTTCAACAACACATCTACAATGATAACGAGGAGATCCGCCAATGCCATGGCTATCATGTAGCGAGTGATGTTCTTGGAGAGACCGCACTTTCCTCTTGATAGGATCACAATCGCTAGAAAATTTACTGCGTGAAGCAATAGCAAAAGAAAGCACCATTTAGATTAATACAATTTTTTTTCTAAGTGTAAAGCTGTAATACATTCCACTGAGTTGCCTTTGAATTGTGTCACGCATGTTTTCACACAAAATACAGTAGGTGCAATTTAGATCGAATCATATCAAGCGTAAAATGTCATCCTAAAAATATTTGTTGATTATTGAAAAGGGAAACTGTTAATTTGCATAAAATCGTGTGATTAGAAATATAAATGTTGGGAAGTGTTTTTGCAACAGTTACTTCAATTACTTTCGAACTCAGTAAATATCACATAATATTTGCACGTGTCATTCACGTATGACGAATATCTTCACCTTTGGTAATTCGCTTAGCGGTATCGAATCACCAAAGCATTTGGGGATAGCAAATTTGGGCATAACTTTACTTACCTCTTCTGATTGCTTATCACCACGAAAAGCGCAGAATCATGCTATATTCAGCAAGGTTTGATCACATCTGTCAAGTGCACAGTACCTCTACTAATCGACAGCAAGTGGCGCAATACTCAAAGTGAAAGGAGTTTCTTTTACAATTCATTGATTTAGACAGCATTTTAAATATTAGATGAAACATGTAAAGCAAGAAAAGTCAAATAACATTTCGATAAGTTTGTGTGATTATTGGCCATCCGTTGTCCCGGCAGAGTGAAATCTTGGGCATGGTTTCTTACCCCACACGCCTGATAATAAACCCTTATGGAAAAAACATAGTAAATTTCTCACTTCAATCCAAGACTGTTTTTTGGATACTGTTGTGCGCCAATGGCTGTCGCGTTTCCCTCACGAATATATCGTCAATTCAGTTTGAAGTATATTCTGTGAAGCGCTTTGAAACGTCTAGAAAACGCAATAAGGCTCATTCTCAAAAGCAAGCATTACTATTATTCTTGTTGTAAGCTCAACTAATCATTGAATAGTATGACTGAACGCACGGAGAGTTATATATTATTGTCCAGTATTGTTAATATGACATGCAGTATGACATGCAACTCTTCTACATATATAATAGAGAGGTAGAAGGCCAGAAATCACCGATATCAGCAAAGAGATTTGAAATATCCGTTTTGCAAGAATTGTTTTGACAAGACGGAAGCCAACGTGTTTGGCTCTCGTCATCGTCTGACTTCCCCTAAAACTCTCTGAACCTTGGCGTCAGGTTCGACCCCCAAATATCCTGTCTCCCACACATGCGGTCCCTCACCAGCATCGCTTTCTTCCACTACCGACGCATCGCCCGTCTCCGCCAACAGCTCGCTCCGAAAGCTGCTGAAACTCTCGTCCATGCCATTGTCACCTCTCGGCTGGACTATTCAAATGCCCTCCTCGCCGGCCTCCCAACCACCCCCACCCCACCCCTCCACCCCCAAATATCTTTAAAATCCAGATTACACAAACGTCTGCCGCCCGCATTCTCACCCGCACCAAACTCCGCTCCCCGATCATCCCAGTCCTCCCAGACTGCACTTTCTGCCTAACCCAGAGAGGATCGATTTCAAGCTCTGAAACCCTCCGACCTCTCTGACCGTCTCTCTCTTCAAAAAAGTACCCGCTTCCTTCATTTCACCGTGTCTGACCTCCTCCTTGTACCCCGAGTCCTCCGTTTCACCCTCGGCGGCCGATCCTCCAGCTACTATGCCCCGAGGCACTGGAACTGCCTTCCTCACTCATTTCGCCTGCTCACTCTCTTCCTATTTCGGGTCTCTGCTGAAGACCTTTCTTTTCGACCGCGCCTTTGGTCATCTTCCTTTCCATCCCTCTGGCTCCTCCCCGGGATCCGTTACTGTGAATGACTCTGAATCGCCGTCCGGCGTGGAGGGCGCTATATAAATCCAAGTTGTTACTTGAATATGTGGCATTTGCCATAAAGCTTCCAATATATGGCTCAATGTAACATGTTAGCGAAACGCAGAAATAATCAACTCCTCTCCAAACAGCCCAACTGGTTGAAACACCACGAATGCTCAGTCAACTGTCTCCTTGATGCGCAATCGACCTAAATCTTTCATCGCAGCCCTTTCCGTTTCTGACGCAACTTTCATGTACTTGTGCAAAGGCACTCTTCTGTACATTATCGTAAAGTGACAGTCAATATATATGCTTCACCTTTTTTCTCTATCAACTTCAATAACCTGATATGTCACTGTAGAAAATGTCTTCCGCCACCGAATGCAGTAACCTGTTGAATATTGCTAGTAAATGCGCCCAAATAGACCTACCAGGAATTCCAACTACTACAAGTGTGGGGTAGTAAATAGCTTCTATTGCATACAGCGTTGCTCGTTCCATGATCAGTTTAATACATTTTTGCTGAAGGCAGAGGCTTCATTGATCATATTGAAATCAATTTGTACTTATAGGGAGCGTGAATCTACATCTTGCATAACGAATACTATTAGTTCCAGACGAGTGAACAAACAAGATAGCGTATTCACTTGAGAGTTACATAAGTTGTACCCGTTCTAAATTGGTTATTGTGAATAGAAATACAAATACATAAAAAAACCTTAAACAAAAAACTTAGTATAAAATATTTGCAGAAAAGATGAAGCACATTACTCGAAATAATTTACATTAATTACAAGACGGACAAATATAGCAACAACAAATTCCATTTGCCTAGTGCCATTCACGGCCAAACAATGTCCCAGGGAGCTGCACAATCAGGATTTGTTGGACCTTTGCATCCATAACTTGCATCTATAAGGCGCTGTTCACGCGCGGTAATACATGTGACTTTTTAAAATTTAAAGATTGATTGATTTCACAAACTATTACAGAGAATATTGATACCCGAGACTTTGATGCTTACCAAGGGTGTGGAGCAGGGTAAGATAAACAAGAGTGTGGTCATTGAGGAACTCATTGATCTGGACCGTGAAAGAGGTATGTGGAGGGGCAAGTTCTGGTTTAAAAACAATTTGCGATCACAAAATGCATTTTGAAGGACATCAGTAGGGCGTCCCAAGGCGCTCAACAATCAGGTGTCTGGGCTCATAAAACATTCTGGGAGATAGGAGTAGACGAGGCACGATTGTTGGAGGAGCTCGCAGTGCTCAATTCAGATGGTAATATGAGGACGTGGTGAGGACATGGCTGCGTACATCTCAAGGACATCACTTGACCTGTCACCTTACTCCACTGGCTCTTTCCCTCCTTTGAGCACCTCAACCTCTCCCACCCCTCATTCTTCTCCCTTAAAATCCTCCTCTTCTACAGGCCCCCTAAAACCTCTCCCACCTTCATCTCCGACATTTCAACACTCCTCACATCTCTTTGCATCTGCTCTGATCGCCTCATCATCCTGGTCGACTTTAACCTACACTTCTCCCCCTCCTGCTCCATCTCCACAGACTTCTCTTCCCTGCTCTCATCACTCAACCTCTCCTTACACATAAACTCCCCCACTCACAGTCACGGCCACCCACTCGATTTGGTGATAACCCGGGGTCTCAGTGTCTCGGATGTCACTATTACCGACAAGGCCATCTCTGACGACTACTTCATCTCCTTCACCACCTCCACACCCCTCCCCACCTCCACCAGACCCACCACCATCTTCTACCGCCCTTGGAAGAAGCTACCCCCACAATCCCTACCCGATGCCTTGGAGTCCTCTGAACTCCTCTCCCTCTGGCGTTCAACCCTCACCGACCCCTCTTCTCCTCTCGCCCTCCTCCACAATACCCTCTCCTCCAGACTCGATACAGTTGCCCCATCACTTCCAGCACTGTCTCCTACTCCCGCTCCTCCCCCTGGTACACCAACCACCTCCGCTCACTGAAAAGCCAGGTGCGGGCTGCTGAACGCACCTGTGTCAAATCTGGCCTAAAGGTCCACCGACAAATCTGGCTGGACCTCCTCAAAATTTACCGCTCCACTCTAGCCTCGGCCAAGTCGTCCTTCTACTCCAAGATAATCCTGGAGGCGAATAACAACCCCAGGCTACTGTTTTACACCACAACCCGACTCCTCCACCCCCCCATCCCCCGCCATCCCGCGCAGGTCAACTCCTCCAACCTTCACTGCGAGGAGATGCTGGATTTCCTTGAATCCAAGATCAAGGGAATTCGCTCCGCGGTCACTTCCCCTCCAACATCCACCAACCCCCCACCCCCTCACTCCTACACTCCGAATGCTACCCATCCTCTCCTACTCACTTTTGTACCAGGTTCCCCAACCTCTGTCACTAAACTCATCCTATCCCTAAATCCAACAACCTGCTCACTTGACCCCATCCGCACTCCACTCCTTATCTCCCAGCTCCACTTTCTTGCCCCACATATCACCGACATCATCAACCTGTCCCTCTCCTCTGGCTGTGTCCCCATTCCCTTAAAAACTGCCACCATTACGCCCACCCTGAAAAAACCCTCCCTTGATGCGTCGCAGCTATCAAGCTTCAGACTCTCAGCCCCCAGGCTCTGGAACTCCATCCCCCAGTGCCTTTGCCTTGCTTCCTCCCTTTCCTCCTTCAAGGCCGGTCTCAAAACCTTTCTCTTTGACCGTGCCTTCAGCTCCCCTCTCGACTCTCTTCCCCCTCCTCGCTCCCTCCCTTCCCTCCCCTCACCCTGACCATTTCCCCCCTCCTTGCTCCCTCCCTTTCCTCACCCTGACCATTTCCCCCCTGCTCGGGTCATGACCCAACTGTGCAGCGCCTTGGGACGTCCTCCTGACGTGAACGGCGCTTTATAAATGGAATCTTGTTGTTGTTGTTGTTGTACCGGCCCATCTTCAACCTCCCCTTTCTCTCCAAGGTCCTGGAAAGAGTTGTCGCCTCCCAAATGCGCTCTTTCCTTTCCATCCATTCACTTGTCGAACCCCTTCAGTCAGGTTTCCGTGTTGCCCATAGCACAGAAACTGCCCGTGTCAAGGTCTCCAATGATATCCTGACCATCTGTGACAAGGGCTCCCTCTGCCTCCTCGTCCTACTCGACCTATCGGCAGCATTCGATACGGTCGACCACGCTATCCTCCTCCACCGCTTGTCCTCCCACCTCAACCTTCAAGGCACTGTCCTTGAATGGTTTAGGTCGTACCTTTCTCACCGTCTTCACTTTGTCTCGACGAATGGCTTCTTCTCCACCCCCCGTACTGTCTCATGTGGTGTCCCTCAGGGCTCTGTCCTTGGTCCCCTCCTCTTCACCCTCTATATGCTCCCCCTTGGTGACATCATCCTCAGACATGGAGTTAATTTCCACATGTATGCGCATGACACACAACTCTACCTTTCCTCCTCTACTCTCAACTCCACGACCACTGATGTCCTGACAGCTGTCTGTCCGATATCGAGTCCTGGACGAGAGACAACTTTCTTCATCTCAACGTGCGAAAAACCGAGGCACTCCTGATTGGCTCAGGTCATCGCCTCCGCACCTCAGGCGCCGAAACCATTAGCATCCAAGGCTGCACTCTCCACCTCTCAAAGCCGGTCAGGAACCTCGGCGTTTTGTTCGACCCTGAGCTGTCCTTTCTCCCGCACATCCGCACCACAACTGGCACCGCCTTCCATCACCTCCGGAACATCGCCAGACTACGGCATTACCTCACCCCTCACGCTGCTGAAACCCTGGTCCACGCCTTTGTCACCTCAAGGCTGGACTATGGGAACTCTCTCCTCGCCGGCCTTCCCGGCACCTCCCTCCACAAGCTGCAGGTCATTCAGAACTCTGCAACTCGTGTACTGTCCCGCACCAGACACCGCGCCCACATCACTCCCACCCTCGCTCGCCTCCACTGGCTCCACATCCCCCAGAGGATTGATTTCAAGATCCTCATCCTCACCTACAAGGCCATTCACGGCCTTGCCCCCTCCTACCTCTTCAACCTACTATCCCCCTACCTACTTGCCCTTACCCTCCGTTCCTCTGGCTCCGGTCTACTCCACGTCCCCCGCCCCAACCGCCCTTCCTTCGGTGGTCGGGCCTTCAGCCTTAGGTCCCAGGCTCTGGAACTCCATCCTCCAGTGGCTTCGCCGCTTCCTCCCTTTCCTCCTTCAAGGCCGGTCTCAAAACCTTTCTCTTTGACCGTGCCTTCAGCTCCCCTCTCGACTCTCTTCCCCCTCCTCGCTCCCTCCCTTCCCTCCCCTCACCCTGACCATTTCCCCCCTCCTTGCTCCCTCCCTTTCCTCACCCTGACCATTTCCCCCCTGCTCGGGTCATGACCCAACTGTGCAGCGCCTTGGGACGTCCTCCTGACGTGAACGGCGCTTTATAAATGGAATCTTGTTGTTGTTGTTGTTGTACCGGCCCATCTTCAACCTCCCCTTTCTCTCCAAGGTCCTGGAAAGAGTTGTCGCCTCCCAAATGCGCTCTTTCCTTTCCATCCATTCACTTGTCGAACCCCTTCAGTCAGGTTTCCGTGTTGCCCATAGCACAGAAACTGCCCGTGTCAAGGTCTCCAATGATATCCTGACCATCTGTGACAAGGGCTCCCTCTGCCTCCTCGTCCTACTCGACCTATCGGCAGCATTCGATACGGTCGACCACGCTATCCTCCTCCACCGCTTGTCCTCCCACCTCAACCTTCAAGGCACTGTCCTTGAATGGTTTAGGTCGTACCTTTCTCACCGTCTTCACTTTGTCTCGACGAATGGCTTCTTCTCCACCCCCCGTACTGTCTCATGTGGTGTCCCTCAGGGCTCTGTCCTTGGTCCCCTCCTCTTCACCCTCTATATGCTCCCCCTTGGTGACATCATCCTCAGACATGGAGTTAATTTCCACATGTATGCGCATGACACACAACTCTACCTTTCCTCCTCTACTCTCAACTCCACGACCACTGATGTCCTGACAGCTGTCTGTCCGATATCGAGTCCTGGACGAGAGACAACTTTCTTCATCTCAACGTGCGAAAAACCGAGGCACTCCTGATTGGCTCAGGTCATCGCCTCCGCACCTCAGGCGCCGAAACCATTAGCATCCAAGGCTGCACTCTCCACCTCTCAAAGCCGGTCAGGAACCTCGGCGTTTTGTTCGACCCTGAGCTGTCCTTTCTCCCGCACATCCGCACCACAACTGGCACCGCCTTCCATCACCTCCGGAACATCGCCAGACTACGGCATTACCTCACCCCTCACGCTGCTGAAACCCTGGTCCACGCCTTTGTCACCTCAAGGCTGGACTATGGGAACTCTCTCCTCGCCGGCCTTCCCGGCACCTCCCTCCACAAGCTGCAGGTCATTCAGAACTCTGCAACTCGTGTACTGTCCCGCACCAGACACCGCGCCCACATCACTCCCACCCTCGCTCGCCTCCACTGGCTCCACATCCCCCAGAGGATTGATTTCAAGATCCTCATCCTCACCTACAAGGCCATTCACGGCCTTGCCCCCTCCTACCTCTTCAACCTACTATCCCCCTACCTACTTGCCCTTACCCTCCGTTCCTCTGGCTCCGGTCTACTCCACGTCCCCCGCCCCAACCGCCCTTCCTTCGGTGGTCGGGCCTTCAGCCTTAGGTCCCAGGCTCTGGAACTCCATCCTCCAGTGGCTTCGCCGCTTCCTCCCTTTCCTCCTTCAAGGCCGGTCTCAAAACCTTTCTCTTTGACCGTGCCTTCAGCTCCCCTCTCGACTCTCTTCTCCCTCCTCGCTCCCTCCCTTCCCTCCCCTCACCCTGACCATTTCCCCCCTCCTCGCTCCCTCCCTTCCCTCCCCTCACCCTGACCATTTCCCCCCTCCTCGCTCCCTCCCTTATCTCCCCTCACCCTGACCATTTCCCCCTGCTCGCGTCATGACCCAACTGTGCAGCGCCTTGGGACGTCCTCCTGACGTGAAAGGCGCTTTATAAATGGAATCTTGTTGTTGTTGTTGTTTATCGGAAATTAAAATGATTGTTGATTCAAAGTATCAATCAAACGGTTACAACTGCTGTATCCAATTGAACTAA